ATCGTTGTCATTCATAGACTTTAAGAACTTTGTCCCCCTAGCAACACCATTGGTAGATTTTTACACTAAAGGTACATATGTCATGTTTTAAATTTTCGTGTTCAACAGGCCAGGGGTTACAAGCTATGGAGGGGGGTTTGACCAACATTAAGGCTAGTTTAAAATTAATTTTGGGGGGTCGTAATAATTCTCATGCATGGAAGGCTTTCTGTAAATCTAAGAATAGAAAATAAATAACATTTGCTAAGGACATTATTATTAGATGGAATAGTACCTATAAGTTAATTGCACAAATATTGAGGTATTAAGAAGAACTTGCTTTCTTTCTTAGGTATGAACTTAATCATCTTGCTGGAACAGTCTCATGCATGGAACACTATTACTATTATTAATACTACGGCTCGGTTCTAGTGACACCGGAGAACGGTGCCACTCCGTTTTGGAGGCACCTCCGGTGCTCCGTTTGTAAAACTGATGGTTCCTACCCCCTTACCCACCCCCTAAACCCCCACCCTACCCCACCCCTGCACCCCCACCTCAACCCCACCGTAAGCCCCCCACAAAATGTGTGTCTATTATGCATTGCATAATAGCCACACATTTTTGGGGGGCTTACGGCGGGGTTGAGGTGGGGGTAGGGTGGGGGTTTAGGGGGTGGGTTAGGGGGTAGAAACCGTCAATTTTACGAACGAAGCACCGGATGTGCCCCTAAAACGTAGTGGCACCGGAGTGGCACCGTTCTCCGGTGTCACTGGAACAAGGTCGTTAATACTATTATTATTATTACTATTATTATTACTATTATTATTATTACTATTGTTATTATAATTACTATTATTATTAATAGTTCTATTATTATTAGTATTACTATTACTATTACAATTATAATAATTTTAATTTAAATTGAATAAATATCAGATCAGATGTAATCATATCAGATCAGAACAGATTAGATGAGATCAAATCTGATCATATCTAACTAGATCATATCAGATCAGATCAAACTAGATCAGATCAGGACTTCAACAAATCATATCAGATCAGATGGGGCAAACGAAACACAACCTTACTTTTTATCTCATCTTGAAATTTTTGGTGGTAATTTACATACTCCCTCCATCCCCCTGTATTTGTCCACATTTGACTTTTGGAACTGTTAATCTAAGCACTTTAACTCATCAAATTCTCTCAATGTATAAGTCTAAATATAGTCATGTGTGATCTTGTTTGATTTGTCTTAACATATAGATTATTAATATATAATTTGTATAAATTTTTAATATACAAATTACAAGATAAAATTGATTAAAGAAGTGCATTGGATGGTGTGTAAAAATGAAAGTAGACAAATACAGGGGACGGAGTGAGTATTTCAGTTTTTTTGTTTAGTTCGGTTCTCATAGTCCAAAACAAAAAATGAAACAGTTTAGAAATAGTTCGGTTCAATTTTTTTACATTTGGTTATTGTTCTTTTGATTCGATTTATTTTTTTGATACAATTCAAACGATTACAATTTGGTTTTGATTTTTTGTTTTCCCGACCCACCCCTAATATAACTTCTCTTAGTGAATTTTTTCATTTCTCTAATTTTTCCAATAAAAAATTCACAAACAAACAATGTAATGGATGCATCCTAATTCTGTTTCTACAAGAGTCGAGCGAAATTCCACTTTCTGTTTTCAGTTTAGACTCCGTATATCTTCACATGGTTCATCTCTTCGGTACATTCTGAAATGCCAGAAATGGAAGAGCTAAAGTTAACCTATGACATCGTCATCTTCGGAGCTTCTGGTTTCACGGGCAAGTACGTTATCCGAGAAGCCCTCAAGTTCCTCAATGAACCCTCCTCTCCATTGAAGTCATTGGCCATAGCAGGCAGAAGCCCGTCGAAACTCGCCCAAGCTCTCCAATGGGCCTCAAACCCTAACCCGCCTCCAGAAATCCCCATCCTCACAGTCGACGCCGCCGACCCGTCTTCGCTCCGCCGGATCGCCTCTCAGGCCAAGATCGTTCTCAATTGCGCCGGCCCTTTCCGCTTGTATGGTGAGCCTGTTGTGGCCGCTTGCGTGGAAGCCGGATGCGATTACCTGGATATCTGCGGGGAGCCAGAGTTTATGGAGGTAATGGAGGCGTCTTACCACGATAAGGCTGCAGAGAATGGTTCCCTGGTGGTCTCAGCTTGCGGGTTTGATTCTGTTCCTGCTGAATTGGGCTTGATGTTCAATTCAAGACAGTGGGTTTCGCCCGCTGCTCCGAATCGAGTGGAGGCGTACCTGAGTCTCGAGTCCGACAGAAGGATTGTGGGCAACCTTGGAACCTATGAGTCAGCAGTTCTTGGGGTAGCCAACGTCAACAAACTCCAGGAGCTGCGGCGTTCTAGACCTAGGAGGCCTCGCCCCACGGTATGATATTTCTTTTCCTCCAGATCTCCTTAAATAATCAACCCTTTAAATTTGAGTGATCTTCTTCGTTTCACATTCATTCTAGCATATAGATTATGGTTCAAAAGAAAATTTCTCTTCCAGTTAACTTCATAGACTATTTTGCAAAATATTGCATTTATAGTGTATGCTCCATATAAGTAAGTTTTTTGACCAATATGCACTTCAATTGCTTCACATGCGATTTGGGTGATTTCTGCATTTTGGGTGTGTATAGTAGAAGTCCGAAGCAAGAGGTGTGTCGATTTGAAATCGATTACGAGCTTTGAAAATTATGCACGTAGAATTGGCTTTAAGTTCTCCTAGCATGTGGGCCCCCGTGTCCGTGTAATAGCCCCCTCTAAATTTTAGAAACAGATTTCACTAGTCATATATACCATGAATGTTTTCCATTACAATAAATCTCAAAACTAAGACTTCTAACTCACACTATATATTGATCCATCTTTGGCTACTACAACTTCATTAAGGTATTCGTGTTGGCCGCCCTTGCCCATTTCAACTCATAGTAATCTACTCGACAGCACAATTATCAGCTTCAATAAATGAATTTTGAGTTTCTCTCCTATTTTCTTTCTTATATACTTTGAAAATTCTATCTCTTCCTTGTGTGTGTGTGTGCGCACACACACACACACCAAGTTGAACTCCTAACCAATTTTCAATAGGAAACTAGAAGTGGCCCCAACAACCAATTTTCTCATTGTGCTTTTCAAATAGGGTTACAATTCTCAGTCACAGTTGAGTAAGTAATAAAGAAACGGAAAATTCTTCACACTAAGTTTGGTTCAAGGAATTTGGAAAGGAAAGAAGAAAATGGTTTTCTCTTATTTTCCTCACCATAACGGGAGGAATTTCGTTCTCTTCTCTTAGTACATTTTGACTTCTAATTGTCTTTTCCTTTTACTTTTCTTTTATTTTCCTCTCTAACCAAACAAGAAAAATTATTTTCCCTCTCATTTTCCTTTCTTTTCCCTTACAAATTCCATTTTTAGGTACTCATTTAGTAGAATGTAAATTTGGTGCATGAAGGACACAATGTCACAGATATTATATTGTTGACGTTTCTAATAAGTTCTAATTGTTCACATAAATAGTACTAGTTTTCTGGATTGATTTGTACCATATTTTGATTAACACACAACTCTTAAAGTGATTCTCTACTAATGTCAGATTCCTGGTCAACCTCCCAAAGGACCAGCTTTCGAGCACCAAAAAGAGTTTGGGGTTTGGGCTCTGAGATTGCCATCAGCAGATTCAGTCGTAGTCCGGAGAACGCTTTCGTGCTTGGCTGAAAACCCTGCAGGAATACCAGGCGTCAATGAGAGTGCTCAGCAATTCGAAAAGAGGAAAGCATTCTGGGCTGCAGTGAAACCGGCCCACTTTGGCGTGAAGATAGCATCCAAATCTCTGTTGGGCATTGTTCGCATTGTGACAGTCGGGCTGTTCATTGCAGTCTTTGGTAAGTCGTCCATAGGGAGACGGCTGCTCTTGAAGTTCCCTTCGGTGTTTAGCCTTGGGTCATTTCGGAAGCAGGGTCCAACAGAAGAAGAGGTGTCAAGTGCTTCTTTCAAAATGTGGTTTGTTGGGCATGGGTTTAGTGATGCAAGTGGTACTTTTGAAGGGAATAAGAAACCCGATATGGAGATTATTACCAGAGTCACTGGACCTGAGATTGGCTATTTGACAACTCCAATCATTCTGGTTCAATGCGCCCTCGTTCTTTTGAACCAGCGAGATGACTTGCCCAAAGGCGGCGTCTTCCCTCCCGGGATTATATTTGGCCCCACAGATCTCCAGCAGCGCCTCCAGCGGAATGGGGTATCTTTTGATCTCATATCCAAAAAGTCTCTCTCGCAACGAATTTAGCTTGTCTGTAAATGCAGGAAGGCAAATAGTTTCCTTCTTACCAATTACAGCTCTCTTGTGAGTTATAATTCAGTATCATGAACTTGGCTTCTTTTCTTAATACCCCATCTTTGAATCTTTTTACTAGACGTTTTTTAGAGGGTTTGTCAGCTTGTTTCCTTCTTAAGAACATTATACTGCATAATTGCAAAAAAGAGTAATCCGGGTAACATTTGACTGCATCGTATGAGAGCGTCTGGAGATTGCACTCGAATGAAATTTCCTTTGTCCAATAATATAAAGTGTCAATCTCTCTGGAAAATATAACCCAAACACCTAAAATACTCTTTCATTATATTCGTAATCTTCTACGGAGTATATTCCAAAACTATTTCACAATAACTTGTTCTATTATGCTCCACATTTTAAATAGAAATTCTCCCCATATATTTTCAATAAACTTATAGATGGATTAAGATCTCTAACGCAAGAATATGCTTTTCATGACAAGCTCTTTAGACCACATGTGAAAAAATATATTTGCAAACTTTTCCACTGTAAAGACCTATTGTAGAATAATTCTCAAATATAGAGAAATCATAAATAAACTACTCGAGTAGTAATATTTTCCTAACATTGACTTTATGTGAAAAAGGACTTGATATAAAAGATATTTGCAGGCTACCTAAAATAGAATAAGTTTGCACACAAGATATGACAAGATAAGAATCTGAATCAAGAAGGATCCCATTCAAAGAAGAGGCTATTAATCTTTGTGGAGACTTACTCGCCACTAGTCTAGCACCTCATTATATAGAAGGACTAACTATATCAGTGAAAATACACAAGTAGAATTGTTTCAATAAAAAATATAGAGAAAATGCATAATCAGTATGATGCATTGCAGAGCTGGAAAAGCATAGTGTGGCCACAACGCCAGCAGTAACTAACACAATGCTCTGCACATTGCATATACACTTCATTCATGCAGAGCCTTGACATCACCTGCTGCTCATCTTCTTTCTCTTTGCATATTCATTAGCAATGCTTACTGCACTGTTGCTGTGACGTAACGAAAATTCAGCTAGCAAAGTTTGTCTCTCTTCCGGCGTTAGATCCCCATGACATCCCTATCCCACCAAAACAAACCCAAAAAAAAAAAGAAAATTTAAGTTTTGATTAACTTGGTGTGTAACAACACTAGATCATTTCTGTCAGTGGATGCAGCTTAAATAACTACAGAAAAAAAAAACATTATCTTTCTCTTAAAAAGAAATCTAGCCCTCAACAGGTTTCACCTTTACAAGAAAATACAAACCTTTCAGAGTAGTTATTTTGATACAAGGACCACCATGAAGAATACCGTGCAATCTTTAAACTTTAACACTATGCTTGGTTCAAGGAATTTGCAAGGGAAAAGAAAAGAAAATGAATTGAAAAACAGTTTTTCTTGTTCGGTTAGAGAAGAAAAGAAGGGAAAAGTGGATGGAAAAGAAAATGGGAAGACAAAATGTACCAAGAGGAGAGAAAACCAAATTCTTCTCATTTTGGTGAGGAAAATGAGAGAAAATCGTTTTCTTTTCCTTTCCTTACAAATTCCATGAGTCAAACATAATGTAAATGTCACAAAAACACATGCTCCCAACCCGACAAAGAACTTTCTTTAACAAAAAACAGATATTCGTAAGCACACAATCACGAACTATGAGACAGAAAGATGATGAAGAATTTGCACCAACATAAAGGTATATACAAATTGGAATTTTGTTAGTACTAACATGACAGTATGTCCTTTAGAGAAGGGTTGGTTTAGAAATGGCACGGATACTGATTTTCAAAAATGGAAAGCTTTGAAATGATCGAAAAAGAATCTCTTAGAAGAAAAGACAATGTTTTTACGTTTAACAAATAGTAAAAACGTATTTGATAAAATCACTACCGTTCGTGAAGTCCTGTCACATACAGCGTGGTGCATAAGAATGCCTGCAGCAACTGAAACGTTGAAGGAGTCTACCATGCCTTTCATTGGAATACTGCAGTGCATATCTGACAAGCTGAGGGCATCCTCAGTTATTCCTCTGCAATTAAAATTTCATTTACTGGTTTGCCAAGTTGTATTTATGTGAGGAAATATTGAAAAAAAACCATAGACTATTGAAGACTGCAGGATTCTAGAATAAAGAACTCTTCACATTATGAAAATTTAACATGCCCTAAATGTAGCTAAGAGCCATGTAGAGAATCCATATTTTCTAGTGTTTGGTTCACTCTGAAGAATAAGTCAAAGGAAAATGATAATTGGTCAATGGAAAATGGTATTCTGTGACAAGAAGTTTGTCTAGGTAAATTTAAAACTACAGTTTGAGACAAAATCTGTGACAAAACACATTTTTGTAGTGTATTTGATATTTGAAGCCGACAACTATGTCTAGTGGATTAAAATCCATACATATACAACAACAGCAGTGCAGTAGAATCACACGAGAATATGATTTGGAGAGGATATGAGTATGCAGAACATACTCCTACTCGAAAGTAGAGGTTGTTTCCAAGAGACCCCCAACTCAAGTAAAACAGAAAGCACATAGCACAATAAAAGAAGCACACATCAAGCTTAGGGTAAATAATGGAAAACGCAATGAAGCAAAAAGCACCAAGCAAAGAAAGAACACAACGACGATTGCAGAAACTGCCTCCAGACCTGAATGCCTACCGAACTAATCTAGTCTTAGACTCTTAGTTCTCCACATGTTCCTATGTAAGGTCATATCCTCGGTAAAGGCCAGAAGTCTTAGGTAATGTCTAATGATATCATTCTAATTTTTTCTAGTTCTACCCCTTTCCACATTCGCACCCACCACCATAAGCCTCTCACATTTCTGCACTGTACTCCACTTCACATGCCCAATCCACCTCAACATAGGTTCCCACCGCTTATCCTCCACAATTGTCAATCCCACCCATCCCCAGATAATCTTGTCCCAAATCCTATCCAACCTCGTCTGCCCACACATCCACTGCAACATCTGCATCGCTGCAGCATGCATCCGCACCGTACAACATAGCTAGTATGACAACGGGCCGATAGAACATTCCTTTATTCTTTGCCAAAATCTTCCTGTCACAGAGAATCAATGAAGCCAAGACTTTTGTATTGATGTAATCATAAAAATGTGTTGGTTGGCTTGGTGAGCTAGTGGTTGAGAAAAGAACTTCGAAGCAAGACTTTCCAATTCTGAAATCAACTCTGAGTTAAAATAAATGAGGTGGCAATATGATGCATAGCAATTAAGGGCACGAGGCACACTAAGGTCCAAAAGGGGCCTAGCACCTTGAGGTGCGTGGCTCAGGAACATGAAGCACAAAGGAGGAACAAAAGATAAATTTATTCCAGATCAATAACACAAACAATCCAAACAACCCCCATTTAAAAAAAGAAGCCTAAAGTACTAAGGATGACATACAATTCATGGTTTAAACTCCAAAGTAACATACAATTACCAAATTTCATAACAAACCAAGAACATTTATTTATAACATTAAGAAATTAATGAACAAATATAATGGGTAGAAAGAGGCAGCAAGAAACAGACCACAAAAACAAACAAACAAAAAGGGAAAATCAGATGTGACTATGCTGATATTCAATGTAAAAACTACAACAACTAACCAAAAAATAGAAAGGAAAATCATACATAAAAGTGTTTTAAAAATAAGAGAAGGGAAGCGAAGAGTAATAATAGTAGGAATAACAGATGATGATGATGATGACAGTAAATAACCTTAGAATTCTTTTTTAAAGTAATTAGTTAAGAAAAAAGTATGCATCCTTGAGGCAGCTCGGCAGCACCTCACTTTGTGCACATAAGGCGCTAATGTGCAGCTAAGCATGCGCCTTTCAATCACTGCCGCGTCAGTCCTACTGATGCACCTACTCCCGAGCCACATGCTTCAGGCGTACATTTCACAACTATGGTTTGATGAGGAAGGCACTCTCAAAATCTCAGAGCATAGTCGTATAAGAGTTTCCCATAAGGAGGATGAAAAAACAACCAAATTAGTGCATAGGGTATTTTATAAGGCATGATGGAAAAAATGGCAGCTGAATTTGTTCCGGAATGCCAAATCTTCAAGCAGTAGAAAAGATGCCTATTTGACAGCACAGTTGGGTGGATATTTCCTCTGAGGTGCGCTGGTGCACCTCAATCTACCGCTCTCTCTTGGGCCTCCCTCTGTTCTTACACAGAATAGATTAATAAAATACAGGGAAGCTAAACATTTCCGTCAAGCCATCGAGTCAAAAGGAGCGGCCTTTGACACGTAGTTTTGGCCAGGAACACACCAGATCAGCCCAAGCTTTATGAAGTGTCGCAAAAGTTATCTGCTTATTTCCTTTTATTAGTATTCCTATTTGCTTATAGTGTTCTATCTTTGTAATTTTGTAATAGTTTAGATCTCGCTTTCCTTATTTGTCTAGGACTCTTCATTTTCCCTTACAAGGATTATAAGTACAACATATCATCTTTGGAGTAATAACTTATTGTACGCATATGCTTCAGCCTGTGTTCTCCACTTATCCCCCTCTTTGCGTAGGTTAGGTTGAATCCCCATCCACCATAGTTTCACATTCGTCTCTTCTGGAGACTCGGGATGAGGTCTTGCACATTGGATCTAAGGCTCTTAATCCTGTGCTAACTGGCTAGGCTTCAACATCAAATTTCCCATAACCTGACAACTCAAATAAGAAGTTGATAATTCATCACAGTGATCTTTGCACCCGGATCACAACAAGTAGGTTAAAGACATCTGTTTACCCATAGCATTTACCTCATCAAGTTGGTTGAAATGGTAATTTGATGAGAGGTCTTTTTAGTGTCATTCGCAATTGTTTTGTTTAAAAGCATATATGTTTCTTATTTGGCTCTTGTTTTGTTTGGAACATATATGGCTCCGTTTTGCTTTCGAGTCTAATATATAATATTAGTATATTAAAAGCATTATTGGTAATAATTAAAGAATTATTACCTATCAAAATACATCTTTGTAATGTATCTTTAATATAAAAAAATTTTGAAACATGAAATTCCAAATTTCTAGCTTTTATATAAGCAAACCCTAAAAGAAAAAGTTATGGCAATTGATACTAGTACCCAAGATCCAAAAACAAATACATCATATATGCAGTAAAGAAAGTGGTCCCAATGATAATGCAGACACTCAAGGAGAGGATTAGGATTACTTATGCTCGTTTCCAACAACAATCGCAGTTGGGCATGACCAGTCCATATCATATATTGATACCTAGTGAGCACCAAAAAACATTACAATGAGTCAAGAACGCATGCACACAACACGCACACACACAAACACACACATAATACAAAAACATGCAATGATCAGGAATTCTTTCCTCAATAAAGTATGTACCGCATCCATTCCAACATGTGTAGTGGCAATGCGATAACCACGTGACTTCAAAACTCTAAAGCATTCGAGTGGAGAATTCCACAGTTCAATATCCAACCATTTTTCTGCCCCCATACTAACATGGCGATTGTCCCTGTACCTGAACATATAGAATGTCAGTAAACAGTTAATGAGAGCAATGAAAATTTTCTTTGTTAAAGATAGCCATACAACTTAATTACTTTATCAGAAAGAGCAGCTAACAGACACCAAATTGAAAACTCTGGTGCAGAAATATTGTGTTTTTACCATTTGATATATACTGTAATTAAACAAATAATTCCAGTATTATAGTAGGTCTTGGCAGTGATGCATTCATTTCAGGTTTTCATTGTTATTTTACAATAAACATAGTGAACTCAGACATAACACAAAACGATGTTGAACCAAGCATGGATACCATTAAAGCTCGTGCAAATTGTAGAGATGTGCAAAAAAGCTTAATACGTATGAGTTTTCACCTCAAGTGTCCTTGCACCTTTTTGAGCTGTCACGGGAAATGACATGGACAGATTGAATCCCAAGTGCATCTGCTGAACGGAACGCAGCAGATACATTGCCATAATCACTCAAACCCTCCACCACCAAACAAACAGAATAAGTTCTGTTCTTCACAGCTTTCCGAAACCTTTCCTTCCTCCCCTCCATAAGGTAAGGGTCAATAGCTTCCAACACCTCATTACTGCTCAAATACACACTTCCTACTTTAAATTTATCCAAATATGGAAACCAACGCTGCAGTTGAGCATTGCCTTCCGCCTCGGGCCTACGCTCCATTTTCATAAACCTCGAAACTTCTTTCTGTTCTGTAAGCAATTCGACCACAGTGTCTACACACGAGTCTTCCGGAACATGAAGGCTGGTCTTCTGGTCTGAACTTACTTCAGTGTTACTCTTGGAGCTCTCGATTTCGAGTGGTACTGCAGCTTCACTGCAGCCATAACGCCTTATAATAGCACTACGAGCTTCAATTCTACACCCTAAATTTGAAATTAGTGATATAACAAATATTTCAATCATTAGATGCTTAAACACAACAAGATAGAGTGAACCGTTATAAGACTCATGAACGCATATGTGTGGGCGCGTGTGTACCTGGAACAGAGGAGAGGTCGAAGGAGCTTAGACAGGGAGGAAGGAGCCTGCAGAGGTAGAGAGGAGAAAGAGAATGGAACTTTAAAGGGAAGACCAAGGTTCGAGGTTTCCATTGGATACGAGAGAGTGATGCACGGGCTAGGGTTTTACATGCGCTCATCGCCACTACTGTGTAGAGCTAAAAAGCTGAGAGGGCGAAACGAATCTTGGGAGAACGTTTGGGTTTTACTGAACTGAACATAGCCGCCTAGAAAATGAGTGGGGGTGGGGAGGGGGTGCCGCGGAGTAGCTTTGACCCGAAATCCATTAAATTGTTTAGATTTTTACAGGCAAATATTTAATTCTATGGCTCCGTTCCGTTCAACTTATTTTTTCTGATCTGATTTAATTTTTTGTCTGATCTGATTGGATTTGATCTGACTTGATTAGATCTGATCTGATTAATTATGATTTGATTTAAAATTCAGATCAATAATTTGATTTGACTTTATAATAACGTTTGAAAATTGTAATGATAAATCATATTGTGATATAATCAATATTTTTTATTTTATGATTATTTTTTAATGAAATAAAATGAGTTAATTCATATATTAGAATAATCATTCATATTATAATGTAATAATATTTCTATTTTATGATTATTTTTTATGAAATAAGAATATTTATTTAATATTTTAATAATTAGTTTATATATACATTAGAATAAATATTTAATTCATATATACATTAAAAAGTAATTAAAATTAGATAATCAATATAGAGAAGAGATAGTATTTTTATTAAAATATCTCATCCTTATAAAACATCAACGTGTGCTTTGTACTACGAAACTTTTTTTGTGCTAAATATCTGGTCTGATCTGATTTTAATAAGAATAAGAAAAAAAGCAGAAAAAATAAGTTGAACGGAACGGGACCTTATATATGAAAAAAATAAGTAATTTTTTACTATTTAAATAAGCATTTGTTTTTTAAATAAAAAAAAATTAATGTGAAAAGTTCCACAAAATTAATATGCAACCAAGGTGCACCAAATAAGCACTCTTACAATATATACTTACATTGAGACTGTAAAATTATTTGGACTGAATGTTTCGGTTTTAGAGCACTGGAAATACACCGAACACCCCAGGGTGTTTTTCTGATTTTTAACGCCTGGGGCGTTAAACACCGCCCCAAGCGACTTCTTCAGGGCATTAGGTATCGTGCGTCATAGGTTTAACGCACAGCCCATGCAGTGGGTTTCTCTTCCAACGGCTATTATAGTTGTTTAAGTTTTTAAAAAAATTCTTCTTCCCCGTATAAATTCAATATTTAAAAAAATTAATACTGTAACACCCTAATCCATCCAGGTTTGTAGCCTCTTTCGGACTAAAGTATAAACTTGGTATTCGTAAACATTCAAAACATTTCAAACATTTTTATTCATTTTTAAGAGTATTTATAACATAAACAGTAATAATACGGAGTGTTTAATAATGTGGTAGCAAATTAAAAATGTCACATGAGAATCGCAATTAATTGTTTTATGTCGTTAAAATAATAATTCAAATCCACAAATCCATCTCGACCTTCTCGCCCCACCTACAGCCAAGAATACATCACTTCATTCTTTTTGTTTACCTGCGCGTAGCAAATAAAACATACTACACGCTCAGCGGTGAAGCTGAGTAAGGATATCTAATGCATCGAACATCCATATAATTTGAATTTCAGTTCATAATCAAATCATTTTATATCATGCACATAATATTCAGTTCAAGGATTCAACATTCAATATTCAACATTCATATTCAACAATGCTCTCAAACTATTTCTTAGACTAAGACCAATTTTTATATGTTTACCAACTCTTAAACTAATTCTAGTTTAATGTATTTCTATCCAACTTTTAAACTATTCTAGTTTAAAGTATTACTAACCAACTCTTAAGCTA